GGAGTGTGAGAGGGGGCAGGTTGTGAGGGATGGAGTGTGAGAGGGGGCAGATGACTGGCCCATCGTGGTCAACTGGCCAGGCTGATGTGAACGTTCAGTGCACCCTCTCCCTCAGTGCAAACTGCTGCAGTTGGTGTCTCGGAGCTGTTCGACACATGGAGGCAGCACTGGGCAAAGGCGTGTGCATTGTGGATAACCCCCACTGGCAGCATTCCAACCACAGCATTGCTTGACCAGACCGAATGGTGTGAGTGGGCAAAGCTGCATGGCGATGCCTACAGCAGTCGAGAAGCCTGTGCAGATTGGGGAGGGGGAACTTTTTTTTTCCGGCGAGGAGGGCTGGTTTGCTGGAAGATCCAGCGGGTGGTTGCTCATTGCTGTTCCTCTCTTCACAGAGGCATCATGGTGGAAGGCCTGTCGTGTGTCCTGGATGGGCTGTTCGGAACGGGGAACGGCTCGACATCATCCAGCCCCAACATCGGGGTTTTGGGTATCACCAAGGTGGGCAGCTGACGGGCACTGTGAACCGTCTCCCACTCCTCCCAGCCGTGCAGTGGCTAACTCTTCATGTCCCCTCTGCTGCCCTCTCCCTGCATCCACTGATTGAGAATCTGTCTGTCCCCAGCTTTAAATATCCACAAGCCTTCTGTTCTCAGCAACTCTGGCTTCTGCTCAGAAAACAAGCCATTTCACAAGTGGTTTCACTTTGTACAGTGTTTGGTTGTATTCGATGAGATTTTGCCCTTCATTTTTCCCTTTTCCACCCCCGGGTTTTGTGGCCGGGTTTTCGATGACATGCTGTGTTGCATGACGTCGTAGGAGCTGATGGGCTGGAGCTGGCTCGGAGAGAGAGAGAGAGAGGGTTGCAGGGGGAGTGGAGTGTTGTTGATTGATGCTTCTCAGTCTCTGGTCGCCTGGTCCCTTCGAAGATGCTCCGAAGATCGGCGCAGTCAGCATTCACTGAGTGCTCTGTCTGCAGGCACACCGGGCCCACACTGAGACTGAGCTGTCTCTGCACTTACATCTGTTGCTCTGGGAAATGGATTGGAAACGGGTGGAGAAACTTAGAGACTTCATCATGTCTCGGAAACCAAGATGTCCAGTCATCTCCCCTGGGCAACCACCGTGCAGGGGCCAAATATTCTGACAGGACATGAGTAAAAGTGTCCATTCCTATCTGGTGGTCTTCTCCCAGCTCACCCCCTCAGTAGGCAGGGGAGGTTCAATGTGACAATGAATGGCAAAATTGTGTTCACCCCAGGACATGAGCGAAGGTTCTGAGAAGCTCAGCAATCATTCCAGATGGAGCAGCCACCTGTACCAAGGCTTGATCTCAATCTTGCAAGTGACCCAAGTGGGCGGTTGGGAGGCACTCCTGATCCTGCAGTGAAATCTGCAGAAAGTCCAAGGTATTCAGTCAGAGGCCCCACCTGGACAAATGTGCGGGAGGCGATCTGAAAAACCACAGCCATGCCAGGGGGCTGGCTGAAGGTACATTTTGGTTCAGCAGCCCAGCTTTCGCCAGAGGAGACATGCCGAGTGCCACTGTGAGTGGCTTTGGGGCAATGGAGAGCTTTTTACCCAGGATGCATTGCTGCAGAGAAATGCCTGTATATCTGGGAGAGGGTGCACTCGGTGCAAGCCTCTGGGCTGGGGATAGGGCTGTTTCTCTGCCGCTTGGCATGGTGGGCAAAGACTTCTCCATTCTCTGTGTGTTGGGATGGTGGTCTAATGTGTGTGTGGAGGTGTGTCAGTGGGAGTATGTGGTGATGTTTGTCGGAGGTGTGTGTGGTGGTGTGGGTGTGTGGTGGTGTGTGGGTGTGTGTGTGGTGGTGTGTGTGTGTGTGTGGGTGCGTGGGTGTGTGTGTGTGGGTGCGTGGGTGTGTGTGTGTGGGTGCGTGGTGGTGTGTGTGTGGGTGCGTGGTGGTGTGTGTGTGGGTGTGTGGTGGTGTGTGTGTGTGTGTGGTGGTGTATGGGTGTGTGTGGTGGTGTATGGGTGTGTGTGGTGGTGTGTGGGTGTGTGTGTGCTCGGTGGTGTGTGTGGTGGTGTGTGTGTGTTTATGTGTGTGAGAGGTTGAGAGTGAGTGTGTGAGGGGTGTGGGTGCGGGTGTTTGAGAGTGGGTGTATGTGGTGATGGTGGTCTGTGTGTGTGAGTTTGAGAGTGGGTATGTGTGTGGGAGTGAGAGTGTGTGTGTGGTGATGTGTGTGTGGGGTGTTGTGTCTGGGAGTTTGAGAGTGGGTGCGTGTCTGTGCTGGCATGTGTGTAGGAGGGGTGTGTCTGTGTGTGGGATATGGGCCAAACAGAGACAAATGGGACTAGTTCAATTTGGGAAACTTGGCCAACACGAACGAGTTGGACCAAAGCGTCTGTTTCGATGCTGTATGACTCTATGACTGCCTCTCTATGTCAAACCCATGGTGCCTACAAGCTGCCCTTGAGAAAAGGTGATCTCACATGAAGCATGATGGATGGGATGGCTCCCTTCCTGGGGTCAGTTTCTTTGTCTGGTCTGAGTGTATCTGGCAGCACAGTCAGATTATCTCTCTCGCCTCTTTGTTTCTGTTCAGGTGGGGAGCAGGAGGGTAATCCAGTACGGAGCTGCAATGATGGTTCTGCTGGGAACAATTGGCAAGTTCAGTGCACTGTTCGCCTCCCTCCCAGACCCAGTACTCGGAGCGTTGTTCTGCACTTTATTCGGTAAGATGGTGTCATCGCGACACAGCTCAGCAGGCCTGGAGACTGCCATGGGCTTGTTATATTTGGCAGTCCGTGTCTCGGTGTGACAGCTAGAGGAAGAGAAATGGGAATTGACTGTCTCAGTATAGTCAGTGTCAGGTCAGACTGTGCAGGGGGAATATTAGCAGCTAGGCACTGAGCTCAGTGGAAGGCACTCTGAACGAGGTCGTTCTAAAATTAGCACCAACATTGCACAGAATAAATCTGAAAGTAATTATTTAAACAGAAAAGACAGTAGAAACCAGGCATGACCTACATTTAGGGAAACGACAGCTTCAGCAAGACATTCGTTCAACTCATTGAATTAACAAACAGTCATAATCTCAAGGAGCCAAGCAGCACTGAGGGTCAGCACTGAGGGAGAGCAGCACTGTCAGAGGGTCAGTGCTGAGGGAGAGCCGCACTGAGGGTCAGCGCTGAGGGAGAGCAGCACTGTCAGAGGGTCAGTGCTGAGGGAGAGCCGCACTGAGGGTCAGCACTGAGGGAGAGCACTGAGGGAGCGCAGCACTGAAGGTCAGCACTGAGGGAGAGCAGCACTGAGGGAGAGCGCTGAGGGTCAGTACTGAGGGAGAGCACTGACGGTCAGCACTGAGGGAGAGCAGCACTGAGGGTCAGTACTGAGGGAGAGCGCTGAGGGTCAGCGCTGAGGTCCGCACTGAGGGTCAGCACTGAGCGAGAGCACTGAGGGTCAGCGCTGAGGGTGCGCAGCACTGAGGGTCAGTACTAAGGGAGAGCACTGAGGGTCAGCGCTGAGGGTCAGTACTGAGCGAGAGCACTGACGGTCAGCGCTGAGCGTCAGCACTGAGGGAGAGCAGCACTGAGGGTCAGTACTGAGGGAGAGCACTGAGGGTCAGTGCTGAGGGAGAGCAGCACTGTCGGAGGGTCAGCACTGAGGGAGCGCCACACTGAGGGTCAGCACTGAGGGAGCGCCGCACTGAGGGTCAGCACTGAGGGAGAGCCGCACTGAGGGTCAGCACTGAGGGAAAGCCGCACAGTCGGAGGGATCAGCACTGAGGGAGAGCCGCACTGAGGGTCAGTCCTGAGGGAGAGCCTCACTGTCGGAGGGTCAGTGCTGAGGGAGAGCCGCACTGTCGGAGGGTCAGTGCTGAGGGAGAGCTGCACTGTCGGAGGGTCAGTGCTGAGGGAGAGCTGCACTGTCGGAGGGTCAGTACTGAGGGAGTGATGTTACCGAGTATGGGAGTGACAGAGCAACGTTACCAAGTGAGGAAATTATGACAATGCGATGTTGTTCTTTTCCAGGGATGATCACTGCTGTCGGCTTGTCCAACCTTCAGTTTGTCGACCTGAACTCCTCCCGGAATCTCTTTGTGCTAGGATTTTCCATCTTTTTCGGGTTAATGCTGCCTAGTTACCTGAAGCAAAACCCCCTTGTGACAGGTAGGTGGAGAACACCATGTGACAGGCTGCCGAGGTGATGCCTCTCCAGAGGTTGATCCAGCCAGTTTGGATCTCAGTGTTATTGTGGAGCTGTCTCTCCCAGAGCCACCCTTTTCCATTAGACTGCACTGCCCAAGAGCTAGCACCGAACTGACGGCCCCAGTGGTGTCCATCTGGAATTGTATCATTCTGTTGGCTGCATGTGCAATCTCTTTACTCATTCAAGTCATCCTTGAAAAGCTCCCAATGCCAACCCCACAAGTTCCATTCGAAGGGAGATTCACAGACATGTCAAAATTAGAAGTAGGAGTAGGCCATTCGGCCCTTCAAGCCTGCACTGCCATTCAATATGGCCGTAGCTGATCGTCCGACTCAGTCCTCTATTCCCACATGCTTCCCATTCTCTTTGATTCTTTAAGCCCTAAGAACAAATCTGTCTCATTGAAAATGTTCAATATTTTGGTCTTAAACACTTTCTGTCACAGAGAATTTCACAGGCTTGTGACATTTCTCCCATCTCAGTCTGAAACAGCCTACACTGTATCCTAAGACTTTGATCCCCTGGTTCTGGACTCCCTGCTCAGTGGGAACGTCCTTTCTATGTTGACCACTGTTTAGTCATTGAGTTAAAGAGATGTATAGCATGGAAACAGACCCTGCGGTCCAACTCGTCCATGCTAACCAGATAGTCTGCATTACTCTGATCCCATTTATTGGTGTTTGGCCCATATCTTTCTAAACCCTTCCCATTCAAATATCTATCCAGATTCCTGATAAATGTTGTAATTATACCAGCCTCCGCCAATTCCTCTGGCAGCTCATTCCATACACGCACCACCCTCTGCATGAAAAAGTTGCCCCATAGGTCCCTTGTAAATCTTTCCCCTCTCACCTTAAACCTATACCCTCTAGTTTTAGAGTCCCCTACCCTAGGGGAAAAAGACCTTGACCATCCACCCCATCCAGGCCCCTCATGATTTTATAAACCTCAAGAGGTCACCCTTGTCCTTCGATGCTCCAGGGATAAATAGCCCCAGCCTATTCAGCCTCTCCGTGTAGCTCAAACCCGCCAACCCTGGCAACATCTTTGTATATCTTTTCTGAACCCTTTCAAGTTTCATCACAACCGTCCTATAGCAGGGAGACCAGAATTGCACGCAGTATTCCAAAGTGCCTGATCAAAGTCCTGTACAGCCGCAACATGATCTCCCAACTCCTATACTGAATGCGCTGATCAATAAAGACAAGCATACCAAATGCCTCCTTCACTACCCTGTCTATCTGTGAGTCCACTTTCAACGAACTATGTACTTGCACTCCAGAGTCTCTTTGTTTGCCAACACTCTCCAGGATCTTATCATTATTTGTGTAAGTCCTGCCCCGATTTGCCTTTCCAAAATGCAGCAGCTCACATTTCTCTAAATTAAACTCCATGTGCCACTCCTTGGCCCAAAGGCCCATCTAATCAAGGTACCATTGTACTCTGTAACTTTCTTCACTCTCCACTACACCTCCAATTTCAGTGTCATCTGCAAACTTACTAACCATACCTCCTATAGTCACGTCCAAATCATTTATATACATGATGAAAAGCAGTGGACCCAGCACCGATCCTTGCTGGTCACAGGCCTCCAGTCTGAAAAACAACCCTCCACCACCACACTTTCTCTCCTACCTTCAAGCCAGTTCCAAATCCAAATGGCTGGCTCTCCATGTGACCTAATCTTGCTAACCAGTCTACCATGAGGAACCCTGTTGAATGCCTTACTGAAGTCCATATACATCACATCCGCCGCTCTGCTCTCATCAGTCCTCCTTGTTACTCAAAAACTCAATCAAGTTAGTGAGACACAATTCCCACACACAAAGCCATGCTGACTATCCCTAATCAGTCCTTGCCTTTCCAAATACATGCAAATCCTGTCTGTCAGGCTTCCCTTCAACAACTTGCCCACCACCGGTGTCCGGCTCACCGGTCTATAGTTCCCTGGCTTTCCCTTACCACCTTTCTTAAATAGTGGCACAACATTAACCAACCCCCTGTCTTCCAGCAGCTCATCTGTGGCTCTCGATGATGCAAATATCTCAGCAAGGGGCCCGGCAATCATTCCCCTAGCTTCCCACAGAGTTCCAGAGTACACCTGATCAGGTCCTGAGGATTTATCCACCTTTATGCATTCTAAGACGTCCAGCACCACCACCTTGTAATATGGACATTTTTCAAAATGTCACTATTTACTTCCCCATGTTCTGTATCTTCCATATCCTTCTCCACAGTAAACACGGATGCAAAATACTGATTTAGTATCTCCCCCTCTCCTGCGGTTCCACACATAGGCGGCCTTGCTGATCTTTAAGGGGCCCTATTCGCTCCCTAATTTCTCTTTTGTCCTTAATGTATTTGTAGAATCCCTTTGGATTCTCCTTAACCCTATTTGCCAAAGCTATCTCATGTCCCCTTCTTGCTCTCCTGACTTCCCTCTTGAGTATAAAGGCAATTCTCATGGATTTACCTGATCCCTGCTGTCTATACCTGACATATGCTTCCTTGTTTTTCTTGATCAAAACCTCAATTAATCATCCAGCATTCCATACACCCACCAGCCTTGCCCTTCACCCTAACAGGAACATGCTGTCTTCGGACTCTCGCTATGTCATGTTTGAAGGCTTCCCATTTTGCAGCCGTCCCTTTACCTCTCCCAATCAACTTTTGAAAGTTCTTGCCTAATACTGTCAAAATTGGCCTCGTTCCAGTTTAGAACTTTAACTTTTAGATCTGGTCTATTGTTTTCCCTCATGATTTGAAACCTAATCGAATTATGATCACTGGCCCCAAAGTGCTCCCCCACCCTGTTAGAATTCTAGAGGTTTCTCTGAGATCTCCCCTCATTCTTCCAAATTGCACTGAGCCAATCTGGTCCCTCTTCATTAATCTGTCCTTTTGAACCCTGACAAAACATTGCATTGTTTATTCAGTAGGTACTGTGTTGGACTGATTTCTCATCATCTTCATTTCCTTCACTTGCAGCTGAAATTGAGATCCCTTTGATCTTTCTGACTCCTTATATGGGAGTGAAATCCTCTGTTTTTACAGAACTGCGAGGCCGTTTCGAATCTCCTCACTGACTCAGAATTGAGGCAATAATTTGTCACATCATGTGCGTTCTGTTTCTTTTCTCCAAATGACTTGTGACTTGGCAGTGTTGATACATTGAGAAAAGCGAGAAACTTGTGACTTGACTGCAGCAAGTTGTCTATCTTGCTCTGCCATTCGCCCACTCCTGCCGTTCCTGCCCACAAGTTTCGTGTTTTTATCTCTGTCTGCCTGACAAGTTGCTCTGAATGTGTGTCGATAATGTTGCTGCTGAGATGTGAGGGAACAGGTCACCCATTTCCCTCCACCAGATAGGAAAACTGCACCAAGGGGTTTGCTGTGAAGCAGAAATAGGAAGGATCACATCTGTGACAGACAGGGCAACAGCGGTGGAGGTGGGTAGTGGGAGAAAGAGAGAGAAAGATGAGAAAGAAATGAACCGGTGTTTGACAATGCCTAAAATTTGCAGTGAGGATTGGAAACTGAAGGACTGAGGCTGCAAACTTGGAAAGATTACATTTTCTGGGCCAGAGTTGTTAACAAGCAGTGATTAACATTAAGCATGTTGGTTATCAACATAAGCGAGCTCGGAATGAGTTGACTGAATGAGTTTTTAGTTTGTATTGACTGTGAATGTGCGGACGCTTGAGATCAGCCCATGCACTTCGGAGGGTGGTGTAAATGGAGAAAAACTGCTGAAAGCTGCTACACAAAGAGACTTGCGGGGTGCAGGGGGAGCTCATGCTCCAAACACAGGGGCATCAGGTAATCAGGAAGGGCCAATGGAATGTTGGCCCTTATTTCAAGGGGGTTGGAGTGTAAGAGTAGGGTAGTCTTACTGCAACTGGACAAGGAGATGGGGAGACCACATCTGGAGCATTGTGAACAGTTTTGGTCCTCCCTATTTAAGCAAAGATATTGTTTTGTGGGAGGCAGTTCAGAGAAGGTTTACTAGGATGATCCCTGGGACGGAGGGATTAGCTTATTAGCAAAGGCTAAACAGATTGGAACTCGTCCGCAGTGGAGTTTGTCATTGAGACATACAGGATTCTTAAGGCCCTTGCCTTAAATGCTGAGAGGATATTTCCCCTATTGGGAAAGTCTGGGACCAGACAGCATAGTCTCAGTAAAAAGGGGCACCAATTTAAGACTACGATGAGGAGGAATTTCTTCTCTCAGGGGGTTGAGAGTCTTTGGAACTCCTTACAACAGAGAGTGTGGGGGCAGAGTCCTTGTGCCTATTTCAAGTAGATTCTTGATCAGTCGGGGAATCAAGGGTTATGGGGAAAGGGTAGGAGAGAGGGCAAGTTCAGGCTTGAGGGGCTGAACGGCCTACTCCTGTTCCTATTTCTTGCGGTCTTACGGTCTCATCGGAATAAGCTGGCTTCCTCCCTTGTCTCTGCCCCTTCAACTGATTTTGCCATGGCAATTGTGAACCAGTAACACGAAGATGGAATGGAGCTGCCATCACTTTGAGTATAAATGATGTACTCATTGAAAATAAGGTTCACATCCTAGCTGTGGTGGTCATCCTTGACACCTCAGATCCCAGAATGAAAGGTCTCTTTCATTGACCACACAATGAATTTTTACCCTCAGTTTACAGTGTTCAGTCACTGAAGCATTCACATGAGACTGCAGGTAGCCTTTAACAACACAATGTAAGTTTCTTAACTAAACACAAACAAAGCTCCAAGTCTGTACTCCACAGTTTGAAAGATCTTGACACAAACATCAAATGAAGTTTTACCCTGTTTCCCAGCATTAGCTGTCGGAGCAACTCAGTCCCAGATCGCTCCTTCCTTCCATACTTTGTTTTCACGTTTCTACATTGTTAAACTTTCCCAAGTTTGACTTCCTTGGTCAGTGGAGACATTGTTACGCTTCCTGACTGAGTTTCCTGGCCCGAAACACTCCCGGTTCTGATGGTCTCAACCTTTCCAGCACGGTGGCACAGTGGTTAGCACTGCTGCCTCACAGCGCCAGGGACCCGGGTTTGATTCCACCCTCGGGCGACTGTCTGTGTGGAGTTTGCACATTCTCCCCATGTCTGTGTGGGTTTCCTCCGGGTGCTCCGGTTTCCTCCCACAGTCCAAAAATGTATAGGCTAGGTGGATTAGCCATGCTAAATCGCCCTGAGTGTTCAGGGATGTGTAGGTGAAGTGTGTTAGCCATGGGAAATACAGGGTTACGGGGAAAGGGTAGCGGGATGGTTCTGGTACGATGCTGTTCGGAGGGTCAGTGTGGACTTGTTGGGCCGAATGGCCTGCTCCCACACTCTAGGGATTCTATGAATTCTGTAAACAACCTGAATGCTTCTCTGCAAAGTGTCATTGTTCAGAAGCTGCAGAAGCTGGTCAGCCCATTAGCTAAGATGCCTCTTCTCTCTCCCCCTCTATCCCTTCCTCCCTCTCTCCCCACCTCTGTTTCCACCTCTCTCCCTCACTTTCCACCTCTCCTCTTGTCTCTCTCTATCTCTCTCTATCTATCCCCGTCTTCCCCCCTTTACTCTCTCTCTCCCTCTCTCCCCGTCCTCTCATTCTCTCTCCTCACCTCTTTCCCATGCTCTGTCCCCCTCTCTGCCCACCTCCCTCTCTCTCTGTCCCCTCCTGTCTCTCCCCTTACCCTCCCCCTCTTGTCTCCCTCTCTCCCAGCCTCTCCGTCTTTTGCTCACTCTCACTGCCACCTTGTGTTTCCCTGACAGGTATTTCTGAAGTTGACCAAGTCCTGAATGTACTGTTGACAACAGCGATGTTTGTTGGAGGTTGTGTTGCATTTCTGTTGGACAATACTATCCCAGGTGGGTGACAATGTTTGGTGGCTCCCGACCTAATTCCCTTGTTATGATCAGTCCCCTGTGCCAGTGTGGGGAGTCTCTCACTGGGATCTGATCCAGTGCTGGTGGGCTGTCACAGTGTGTGTAGTTGAGTAGCTGACAGGCAACAGTATTCTCTCACCTCTGCCCTCTCTCCTCCTGGTCAGGCACCATTGAAGAAAGAGGTCTTCGCAAATGGAAGGCTGGTATGGTGGCGACCAAGTCTTTGGACAGTAAAGAGACTTACAACCTGCCGTTTGGCATGGCGTTGATGAAGAGGTACAAGGTGTTCAGTTACCTGCCCATCAGCCCCACCTTTACGGGATATGGATGGCGGACGTGCCAGGAGGCTGGCAGCTTGAGGAGTCGGCCTGACAATGCTGAAGCGTCTGTATAGCATGCAGCCAACCACCCTGTGCCCTCTGAGGCTCCGAGTCCATTCCACTGTTCAGATTGTGGCTCCCACGATGGGGAAGGCATGCAGGGTGGTGTTTAATGGTTGGTGGGGGGGTTGTGGGGGAGTGGGAGGGTGTGGTGGGGGAAGCTGTGTGTGTGTGTGTGTGTGTGTGTGTGTGTGTGTCTGTGTGTGTGTGTGTGTGTGTCTGTGTGTGTGTGTCCCTGTCCCTGTCCCTGTCCCTGTCCCTGTCGTTTTCCCATTTCCCCACTGCCATTCCTCACCCAACAATCCAAACTCCTCTGTCCGAAGCTCCCAAAGAGTGGACAGCAGCCGATGATCTGGATCACATGTTGGTAGTGGTCACTGAGCTCTCACCCTGCCTTCCCCCTGTGCTGCAGCTTGGGTCAGCCCAGTCCAGGGGTGGGCAGTCCAAGGCCCAATCATTGGCAAAGGCACAACACTGTGGGCTGGGCGCCCCCCCCCCACAACTCCACACTCTCACCAGCCCTACCCCCTCCCCACCACAATCAGGGCATTACACTCCCTTTGACAGCACAGCATGGCAGGGGATCGGGGGCTGCCTTTTCCCAGCAGGTGCAAGATCATGTGTGTGATCAGGCTTTAGAGGGTGGGGGTGTGTGTGTGTCTGTGTGTTTGTCTTTATGTGTGCGCGTCTGTATATGTGTATCTTGAGTGTGTTGTGCGTGTGTGTGTCTGAGTGTGTTGTGCGTGTGTTTATTGTGTAGTGTGTGTGTGTGTGTGTGTAGTGTGTGTCTGTCTGAGTGTGTGTGCGTCTGAGTGTGTTGTGTGTGTGTGTATCTGAGTGTGTTGTGTGGTGTGTGTGTGTGTGTGTGTATCTGAGTGTGTTGTGTGTGTGTATCTGAGTGTGTTGTGTGTGTGTCTGTCTGAGTGTGTGTGTCTGTGTCTGTGTGTGTGTGTGTGTCTGAGTGTGGTGTGTGTGTGTGTGTGTGTCTGAGTGTGGTGTGTGTGTGTGTGTGTGTCTGAGTGTGTTGTGTGGTGTGTGTGTCTGTGTGTGTTGTGTGGTGTGTGTGTCTGAGTGTGTTGTGTGGTGTGTGTCTGAGTGTGTTGTGTGTGTGTGTGTCTGAGTGTGTTGTGTGTGTGTGTGTCTGAGTGTGTTGTGTGGTGTGTGTGTGTGTCTGAGTGTGTTGTGTGGTGTGTGTGTGTGTGTCTGAGTGTGTTGTGTGGTGTGTGTGTCTGAGTGTGTTGTGTGGTGTGTGTGTCTGAGTGTGTTGTGTGAGTGTGTGTGTTTGTGTCTGAGTGTGGTGTGTGTGTGTGTGTCTGAGTGTGTTGTGTGGTGTTTGTGTCTGAGTGTGGTGTGTGTGTGAGTGTGTGTCTGAGTGTGTTGTGTGGTGTGAGTGTGTGTGTGTGTCTGAGTGTGGTGTGTGTGTGTGTCTGAGTGTGGTGTGTGTGTGTGTCTGAGTGTGTTGTGTGTGTGTGTGTGTGTCTGAGTGTGTTGTGTGTGTGTGTGTGTGTGTGTCTGAGTGTGTTGTGTGGTGTGTGTGTCTGAGTGTGTGTGTGTGTGAGTGAGAGACTGAGTGCATGTGTTTGTCCATCCCAGAGTGTGATCCAAGGCCATTCATCTAACCTGCCTGAGGCTTCAGCTCGTCCTGCTGCCTTGTGTTTCTGGCATTCCCCTGAACGCTGGCCGTACCTGGGAGTCTGGCTGTGACTGACCCCTTGAGGCACTGGCCTCATTCTGCCTGAGCGCTGACCTCTCGAGCCTGGCTGGGTTTTATAATGAGAGGAATACAACCCTCCATCTCATTGCCACAGCTGGAAACAGACCTCCCCACAGGCAACTGGGCTGCAGAGATGCTTCAGCTCCCCAGCCTGTCTCTGTCCAAACCTTTGCCACCCACACGCTCAGTCAGGGCAGCCTATACCCCCATTCTGGGCACCTTGCTGGATCAGCTGGTGTTTGGCACTTGGCGGGAACAGTCTGGGAGGGAGCAGAGGCTACAGCAGGGAAAGTTCTCGTTCCTGATGAAGGTGGGGATTTGTTCCTGTTTGGGACCCAAGCTGCAGAGTAGTCTGCCTGACTTGTGACCAGCAGGTCTCTCCTGAATGGATCTCCGGCTCTGGGCTGGTGAATTCCAGCAGCCCAACAGAAAGCTGATTCCCTCAGCTCTCCGCTGCAACAGATCATGTAGCTGTTGTCCCTCCGTCATCGCCACTGGCAAAAACATGGCCACCACCGGTTGGCCCAGCATTTATTGCCCCGTCCCTAGTTGCCCCTTGAGAAGGTGGGGTGAGCTGCCTTCTTGAACCGCTGCAGTCTCCTGCTGTGGGTTGACCCACAATGTCCCTTAGGGCGGGAATTCCAGGATTTTGACCCAGCGACAGTGAAGGAACGACAATATATTTCCAGTTCAGGATGGTGAGTGGCTTGGAAGGGAACTTGCAGGGGGATGGTGTTCTCATGTACCTGTGCCCTTGTCCTTCTAGATGGAAGTGGTCGTGGGTTTGGAAGGTGCTGTCTGAGGATCTTTGGTGAATTTCTGCAGTGCATCCTGTAGATAGGACACACTGCTGCTACTGAGTGTCTATGGTGGAGGGAGTGAATGTTTGTGGATGTGGTGCCAATCCAGTGGGGGCTGCTATGTCCTGGATGGTGTCGAGCTTCTTGAGTTTTGTTGGGGCTGCACCCATCCAGCTGTGTCTGTGTGTGAGAGTGTGAGCGTGACTGTGTCTGTTTGAGCGTGTGTGTGTGTGTGAGCATGTGTGTGTCTGTTTGAGCGTGTG